CACTCAATGAAAAACAAGTATATGCGACCATTAATAAAACGGACATCGTGTAGGTCATGCCTATCGGGCTTATATAATATGCAACTTCACGTCAGCTGAATCGAACGTCTCAGCCGCGACGCCTTTTTCGGGGGCTCGTCCCTCCGCGATCCGGAGAGATGCTGCGAGCGATTGGTCATGACAGAGAACATGTGAAGATCGCGACACACTTATCATTTATCCCAATACGAACCAGTCATATTTTCAATATGACTGGTTCGTATTGGTCTAATGTCCGTTTCTACGAATAGATTTTAATCTTGGTTCAACTAACTCTTCATTTCTTTCTAGAATCAGAAAAAGAAGAGCAAATTGAACTGAGATTAAAGTTCCTAAAAATGTACCGAGTTAAGAGAAAGTCAAAATAATTTTATTTTGACATCATAAAAGTTAAAAATGATGATTTTTTTATTTACAAAATTTAACATTAAAACTCAAAATGACTTTATTTTGATGCTTAAAGTCAAATTTTATAATAAAAAAATCATCATTTTGACTTTTTCTTGACTTTGTGTATTCCTTGAGATTGGTAGGAGAATGAATATGTATCTATCTAAACAAAGTCCAAAATCGAACACGAGACATCTTTCATGACCGTTTCTACCCTCCAATGTAAAAATTTGATCAAAATGTAGCAAGATTCTTTTTGATTAATGTTCTTGCGCTGATATTTAAAAAGAGATCTATTTATCTAAAATCATTATAAAATTAATTACAAAACAAATATTAATTATATATTCTTCAACATGATAAAATCAATCGTAACATTTCGGTTAGTCTTCTAATCCTTCTCAGCGAAAAATTAATTACATAGTAAATACTTTAAAATTAAGATAAGATGCATTATTGTCTGCTTCCAAGGTAGACAACGTCATCTCCTGCAGAAGAAATATATTTCATATCAGTAGAAAGAGGAAAGAAGAAATAGTCTCAAAATATTGAGTACCTACGGAAACGGCAACAGATGTGCAAACCACTAATGTAGATTAACTTTAATCTTGGTTTAACTTACTTTCTATCTTTTTCTAGTTTTAAGAAAAAAATCCAGATTAAAGTTAATCTTTAGTAAAAATGGATATTGGATGTCTTTTAGAACAGTAAAAGTATCTTATAAAATGTTCCGTATCAACATCCTGATTTTGGACTGTAGTTGTCTGGATAATTTCGATTGACATTTAAATTTGCGAGATGTAGATCTGACATAACATTAATAATTTCTGCAAATTTGATATAACAATGATTTTTCAAAACTGGATTTATATGTCAAGTGTATTCGATATTCGACGAGATGAAAATAGAAATTTCGGAGATGGATTCGGGGTGAGAGAAACGGCCGCCATGAAATTCCCTCTCGCGTCCTCGCCGGTGTTTTTTAAAGGTTTTGCAAGGATCTCGTCTCTCTTTCAAAATAATACGTGATTTCACGGTGCAATTAATCTCTGACACGCGTCTCGCATTAACGTTGACAGTGGGATGACGTTAACAATAGCGTACGACTACGATTGTAAATAAATCGATTGTCTCCTCCCGATATCTAGCGGCGACCAATAACGCGGGATAAATAATCCGTCCTCGAGACAGAGAAAGAACACTAAGTCAAAATCCACGGATCTTTCATTGACGCGCCTTTCGAAAGGGGGAGGGCAGCGGCGCAAAAGTGAAATTGATGATAACTGAAAATTTCATCGAAAATGTCAGGACGTTATCCGGGGAGAGCCTAGAAACGAGCATGAGACAAGTGACGGATTCAGGCGAGGATGTAGCTGGGTGTATACGAGCCAAGGCATCGAGGTCCAGCTTTCCCCCCGCTTCCCACCCCATCTCGCGCGCACCTCTTTCGTTCGCTGTCGCTGTCGCTCCGACACAAAATGTTTGACGTTCTGACAAAAAAAGGTGCGGACTTACTGTCGGTCGAGAAGGCGTCCGCGGCTGCCAGCACGGCCAGCGCGACGAGCAGCAACACGCCACGGGATTCTCGCCCCATAACAACCCTCTTTCTTCTCACGGTCGTGTCCTTCGTCGCCTCCGTTCCACCACACTGTGTCACGGCGAACCACCACCACCCAACGGCAGCGGGCACCACCACCGTTGCCAACCTCTCCGCGGTGCTTCCTGCCGCGACAGTTTCTTCTCCCCGCCTCTCTCGTTTCACCCCAGCTGGCCTTCTCTCTCGCTCTTCTTTTCTTCTTCTCTTCCCTCTTACGAATATCGATCAACAACAATAACAATAACAATACCCTCTGCAATCGGACGGAACTGCGGCGATCACTGACGGAGCCTCCTCGCAAGACCACGCGGTCCAGCCACCGTTCGGCATCGGGGTCTTCTCAAAACACGTCAATCCGACGTCTCTCTTTCTCTCTCTCATTAACGGCGCAACACTCGCCGCCCTCGTTGCTCCCGCCTGTCTTTCACTCTCCTCCTCGCGGTTACTTGCGGCTATAGAAAAAATACACTCTACAAAGTGATGAGACCGACCGGCCCGCCCCGTATGCGGCCACCTCCGTCATCCGTGCGCGTATCGCGAGGTATTCTCCGTCCTTTTCCCTCGCCTTTTCCTGACCCTGCTGAGTGCTGCTGTGCTGCGTCGATCCGACAGTGGCGGATTGTCGCGCCGAGGCGTCAGCGCCCTCCAATTTCGGCGCTCGGGGCGGATCTCCAATGCGAATGCTCCAACTTACACATCTGCAAAAATCCCATCGAAAATAATCACCTTCCTCTGACGATCCTCAAATTAAAAATTTTTCAATCACCGCACTCGCAGCGAGTTTCGCAGCCGCTACGTTCACGTGAAAAAGAGCCCACATCGTCGTGTTTCATTCAGTTTCCGTTTCATTTCTCGTTAGATCATTGTCACATAAAGAAGATATAATAGATAGTTATCGTATCCCGCATCCGTTTCAAATCTTTTACGAGATTTTTAAATTTCTGATAATACAGAGATGAAGAAATTGAAATCATCTCGCGCCTGAAGATTTCTATTTTTAGGGAACTATTAAAAGTGCAATAATTCCATGTTTATTTAAATCTTTGTTTAATAAGAATAGAATTCGACCGATATGTATAAATATATTACACAAGTATGAAAAGAACCGCCAAATAGCAACAGTTAAATGCTTATACATATATGTATATATATATATATATATACAACAATTACATAACTAAACAGAGAATACAGAATGAATTCTCTCTCTCACTCATTCTCTCTCACTCTCTCTCTTTGACACTTTCTTAATTTGAAATGTTTACCAGTGATAAGGAATCTCGAAATTAGTTGAAACTCCTGCGTGTCTTTTAATCCGCCACTGCGACTCCGCCGATTTCTTTCGCTCTCTATCGCTTCTCTCTGCCACGCTCGATCACCCAGTGAGTAACACCGCTCTCTATCTCTGTTTTCCTCGCGTGTTCTCCCGGGCGAGACTCCGCCGACCGACCAGCGACTCTGACGCACCGATATCGCGCCACCTGCGCGCGCAGTTTCGTTCCTCTCGTTCTATTATACGTACACGAGATCTCCTTTATCGCTCGCCCCGCTCGAGTCGAGTCGGCGCCGTGATGTTAAAACACATACTCGAAAGTCGCGTCGCACGCGTGCGAATCGGCGCTCCGCGGCTGATGATCGTATGATACGCTGCGATATGCGGCCCAGCTTAACCCGGAAAGGCAGACATCACCTCCTTCTTCCGCAAATGACGGACGAGTAGCGATGTGAAATTTTTACGTTCACGCGCGACACCGGAAACGTGTACGCACCATGCACACCTATGCACGCACCTGTACCTGTGTGCGAATCAAACATTATTTCCAAATGGAATTCTTTCGCTTTTTTTTTCTTTCTGTTTGTCAGTCGAATGGAATTTCTACCTTAATTGCCACGAATATGATCAATATTTGGCTGCCTGAGAATATATATATATATATATGTGTATATATATATATATATATAGCTCATGTGAAATAAATAACATTCTTTCATTAAAAAACGCTACGAATTAATTCCAACACTTAATACTTGTTTTACAAATGTTTTATATGAATGAGTAGATTCTATTAAGTCTGATCGCGAGCGATTTTGTCAAAATTCTACGAAAGAAAAAGATATAATTTCTCTTTGTATATACAGAGATATCTCATTCTAACTCATGCTATTTCACTCTATAACTTTAATTAAGATTATAGATATTATGAGATAGTATAAATTAGAGTGTATAAGTTTTAGAATAGTATTAGTTAGAGTGTAGTATAAGGCAGTACATGTACAAGGAGAAATTATATATACTTTTCTCTCCTGTAAGCTTGGTTTCATCAAATCGCTTATTACCAGACTCTAGTAATAGGATCTCTGTGTATAAGAAATTTGATTGCAAATGATACAACTATATATGTATGATAATAAGATAAAGTGATACAATTTCAAACATGGTATGGTTCTCTCTGAACGAAATAAGATTTAAATCCAACACTTTACCCTACATATAATTTCTTAATTTTTCAATACAATGTATGTATATATATATATTAGCTAAGTTAATTTTAAATTAAAATATTTGGTAATAATCTAATTATGAATGTATAAGATAACTCAGGCTTAATTTCCTATATAATTAGTGTGGGATCTTTTTATAGAAATTTTTACAAAAATTATCAGGTGGACAAGTGACCACATTAATCATTAAAATAGTTTGATTTTGAAAAGAACCATTATTATTAATGATATGTACATAGTCATAATAAACATTCAATTTGAAAAATTGTAAAAATTATTAAAACTAAAATTATTGAAAATCACAGACTTTGGACTTACTTTGTACATAAAGGGATAATAATGGAACAAGTTTCACTATTATTCATTATCTGTGTGAGACTGCGTGCTCCACATTAATATATTAGATCCGTTAGAAGCAAGAAAGCAATTCTTCTGTGGATGAACGCTTATAGATACAGTAGGATGCTTGGTTGGCTTAAAACCTGAGAGTTTCGCGATCACTTTTTGAGATACAAGATCCCAAATCCATAATTTCCCATCCGCCGAGCCGGAAAGAATTTTCGTATCTTGATAATCTACGCTAGATTCTAGACACAGATCCCTTCCAGTGTGTCCTGTGAATTCACCGAGTAACTCTCCCGAGTCCTTATCGATTAATCTAATTACATCGCCCGCACAACTGACAAGTATACATTGTCCATCTCTAGTAAAGCTGGCGCATGTAATTGCATCTAAAAAGTTTGTATCGTATTATTTTCTAATCAATAATCTTAAATCTGTTATTTCTTACCTCCCATATAATCTTCACAAAGTTCTCCTATTCGTATATCATATGTGCGTACTTTGCCGTCAAAAGAACCAGTTAAAATTTCATGATCTGAAACTCTCACACTAGAAATAGAATCCTTAGCATTATTCAAAGACTGTACTGCTTCTTGCGCTTTGGAACGTCCGTCCCAACACATAACACTGTTGTCACGAGATCCAGAAACGATCATTGACGATTCTTCATTAAATCTGTGATTGCAACAAGAAATATTAAGCTTATAGCAAATTCAATTGGAAATTCAGTGTAGTGATGCACATTAAAATTGTCATATATACAAATTGACATAAAAATGTATGCTTATTACAAATATAGAAACCAATTAAATATTCAATAAAATATTCCATTTTATTATGCCATTAGATAAAATATGTAGTTGATAATGCAAAATATTTGTATTCCACTTTTAAACTTAGATTAAATCAGTGTAGCGTAACAGAATTAATATGTATCCTAATTCAATAAAATTTGTATTTTAAAAATATCATGTTTATATATTATTATATGCATGTATTATCTTTTAAGTTCTAAAGTTATTAAACTTAATTATATTGAATTAAGGCAGAATTTGTGATTGGGATTACTTGGTTAGAAAGGCACTTTTATATTTTTATACTTAATATTTGGATCTTTAAGTTCCAGTTCCAAATAAGATTAACTTTAATCATAGTTTAACTATTTGATTTTTTTCTAATGCTTATAATTAGAAAAAAATAAAAAAATAAATTGAACAGAATTAAAGTTAATCTTACATTGATGGAATCAAACATAAATCTGTAATGATTCTTAATATGATTACTAGATTATTGATATTGAAATAGCATTGGTCTTCAGAATCAGTTACAAATAATATATTAACCTGACTGTTGTAACAGGACCTGCATGTCCTCTAAAACGACGCACAGGCATGCCTGTGGCCACATCCCAAATGATTATAGATTTGTCTAATCCACAAGATACAATCTGACTACTGTCACAAGACGCATAAGCATCCATAACCTCGTCACCATGACCACCATATATTTTCAACGTAACAGATTTGTACGGATTCCATAACTTTAGCTTCCTGTCTGATCCGCACGTTATGCAATATGAACCGTCCACTAAAATACAAAACCACATATACATAGCTTCATAAAATTATTGTATCAAAAGTAAACAAAGTTTCTTACCACTGAACCGTACAGATCTAACGGCCCCTTGCATGCAGTCTATTTCTTTTTCGAATTTGTATTCAGTACTCATTTTTCTTTTTCTCTTTTTACAAGAAATTACATAACTTCTGAAATTTTATAATAATTTTCTTAATGTTTCAATTTCGATTTTTTTCTCTCTTGAGCGATTAAAGTCCTAATTATCATGAACAGAAGTACATTTTGTTTATTGAGTACAGTACATATTAGATAACAATTAATGATTTGATAACAATTTGATATAAAAAATGAGATTTTGAAAAAATATTTTGAAAAAGATCCCTATAACCTACTGAATACAAATAAACTTTTAGCAGTTCGGCACAATAGATCTATTCGCGTTGCTTGCATCTTTTGCACTCACGCACTCAACCATGGACGCCATGGAAGAAATTCAGCATCTTTGCTTTCTCTCTCTTCAACGTCTGAATAAATATGTTCGTGTTGCCTGAATTTTCAAAAATTTTTGTATTGAAAACGAAATAGATATATATTTGGACTTTGAAAAGAGAGAAATCGAAAATTCTAAATATAAAAAATACAAACAACATGAACAGATTTAATACTTATTTTATTTTAAATGCAAAAATTTTTGATAATTTCGAACAACGCGAACAGATCTTATTTCAAGTAGAGTTGCCAACCGTTCAATTTTGATTCGGACAAACATACAATATTGACATGTATAAGTGTTTTTTTTATCGCTGCACTTTCTGAACTAGTACATACAGTGCATTAAATTGAAATGAAACAAATATACGTTTATTTCACTTCAACTTATTGCACCGATTCAAAGTGCAGCAATAAAAAACAGACTCTTGATCTGTTTCCTGCACTAGACTGTTTCTAAGAAACTCTCTTTCTCGCATTAAACAAATATCAAACGTATATCTATCTCACTTTAAGTTCCAAAAGTGTACACTAAATAAGCCACAGAAAACAGATCTCATATGTTTTTTTCTTCAGTGTTCAACTTGGCGCGCATGCGATTACGCGCGTGGACGACCATGTGACTGGTAGACAGCCTCGTAATTAAACGCAGGCGCCTGCAGAAAATTTCCACATGTTTATTTATAGAACATGTTTATTTATATCACTTGTTATTCTGTGCTCGCACAGTTATTAAAATCATTTTGTTTGAATAAAATATCCTTCTGTTTCCTTGCGGTATATTATTTTCTAAAATTAATTATATACGTAAAACTTCCAAACTTTCCAACACGAAATTTAAAGTAAAACTTTTAATAAATAAGCTTTTCAACATATCTGTATAAAGATTTCAGTTACGTTTCATAATATTTACAATATTTTAAATTATACGTGACACATCGCGAGTGTCTGCCTTATTAAAGAGACTTTGTCTTAAAATAATGTCGACTTTGATTTTTAAAATCAATATTCATATAAGAGTACTGGCCGCAGAAAATTTATAGATCTTATTTACTACCATCTGTGTAAGAAGGTGATATATGATTTTCAGAATTCACTAATTATTTGACAAAGAAGAATCCTCGTGTTTTCCCTGGGCCTAACGGTACCACATATTTCAGCGAGTATTTGTGCTAAGCGCTACTGCGCAATCCCACGTTCTAGGATTTCAGCCGAGTGACGCTAATGGGAGAGAAGATCGGCGCGAGTGTTGCGTAGTAAGTAAAGTCATACGGTTGCGTGTGGAAGGTAACGCGTGTTCGTGAAGGGCTCCCGTCCGTGGAAACGGCATGATGATGAACGGTACCGGTTTATCCTTGTACGCGTGGCGCACGGCCGTGATTGTGTCTAGCGAACTTAGAACTAAGTGTATCAGCAGTGACAATGCATTGTGATCTTAGTTGTCGTTGTACGAAAAAGTCGAGGCCGTCGTCGCCGCCGTCGTCGTTGCCGTCGACGTCGCCGACGTCGTCGTCGTTGTCGCCACCACCATCGCCGTCGCTGTCGCCGCTGCCGTTGTCATCGGGCGCGCCTTGTCGTTACTCATCTCGGTATTTGGCACCGGTATCCCGACACGGTTCGTCGTCGTGGAATGGCAGCGGCCCTAAAGAAAAATCACTCACGTAGACGATTGGCCGCCCTCACTTTCCTCTCCAACATCTCCCTCGACGGCAGTCACCGGGACACCAAGTTCGCCGTCCTGTCACGTAGCGGGCCAAGTCATGCGCGCAGATTTAGCGATGGCCAGTCTGAACAGCAGGCGGTGTTGGAGGTATGCCGAAACGTCGACTTTGAGCCCTCCATGGAAGAGGTGCTAGACATCGTCTGTCCCCCGGAGGAGACGCACGACTTGTCGCAGAATGAAACGATAGAGAACAACTCTCCGCAGCCGGTGCACAAGAGCACCGATCACAACTCCTTTAGTTCTGATTCGGATGGACTACTCACTCCTGCCAAGGCAGCAGTTACCATGTTCTTGGAGCAGGAGAGAAATCACTTGCAGTTTTCTTGTGGCATGCACAGTTCGTTTAGAGAACGGTAAATATTTACTTGTCAGCCTAGGTTGCTTGAGTTAAGTCTGCGAATATAATAGGGGCGAGTGGTTCTCTTTTCAGTTAAACTATGTGGTAATTAATTTACTGGATAATCAAAACAAAGGAGTAAGAGTATAAGGAAATAAGAGAATAACAGTGAGCTGAAGTTTGTCAAAAGGAAAAACAACTCAGCCTAGATGTAGTAAACCTTAAGCTTTAAGGTATTGACAATTATAGTTAATTATTCTTTTCATATGCGATTGCAATTGATCAATTTCTTAAGACTTAAGGCTTACTGCACCTGTATTTACAGGCTAATGTCAAGTCTTTTTATCAGTAGTCATATAGTTGTTGGAATTAAATTAATAGCTCCTTCCTCTACAAGAGAAATAAGAAGGAGGTCAATATGGCCAAACAAATAAATAGATTATATACGAAAACAGCTATCAGCAGTGTGCCAAAATATTAAGAACAATACAATTTGTCAGCAGTAATACAAAAGAATATGGAAGAAGACAGGTGAAACAACTTGAGAGATGCGCAGTAGTTCCGATTTAGTTATAGCCAATCAAAATTTATCCTAAGCAAAAAACAATAGGACAAATTTGATTGGATAGAATTAAATTTAGAACAAAATTCGACTTGCTAGCTAATTGTTCTGAATTGCTGTTATGTGCGTTGTTTGTATTCTTCCATCATATTAAGGAAGGTAACAGTTTACTTGCAAAAGTAAACTGCCAAATGAAAAACGCAAAGTTAAACATGTAATTGTATTAAATGTTTTATTCTACATAAGCCAAGATATTTATCGTAAATAATGTGTGAAAATTAAATTCTTTAGAATTATTGTTCCTTTAAAGAAGATATTGCTTATCATAAATACAGTAACAATACATTTTTTATCTTATCTTTTAAGCCTTTGTTGCAGAAATAGGTCGTGATAGTCTATGATAATAGAATTGCTTGAACGTTATAAACAACTATATGTATATATTTTAGAAAATTTATATTATGTTAATTGTGCAAATTTTAATATAGGCTTTAAATTAAGATATGATGTATATTCTGTAGTAAGATAATCTATTAGATAACTGCAAGTGGCAGACAAACTGCCATATCTTATAAAGTTTAAAATATTCTAAATTACACACATCAAAATATCCTTTTGATAAGAAAGAATGTTGATAATTAAATATGTATGAAAATTTCTACGCTATAATATTCCATTTCAGACTGTCTTGGTACAGATAAGATTGAATGACACTTAATGGATTCAGATAACATTATCAAAAGCGTCTACAGTATCACAAACAAAAACATCGTGAAACTTGATTACATTCCATCCACGCATTACTTGCATATCTGGTGTATAATTCATACTGTATGCAATTATGATTTTTTTTTATTTAGCTGTGGTTTTTTAAATAGATTTGAAAGTAGGTTTTCTTAAATAAATAGATAAACAGATGGATTTTGTACAATAAAAAATTCAATTATTCATATTTTAATATTTCTTAATTAATTTTTAAGCAAACAAGATGCGATCTTATCTTTTATTATTTAAATTAGATCTCATTTCGTAAAATGTTTGTTTATGAATTAATTATAAAAATATTCTATTATAAGAGAATAAGTTATTATTCTTATTCTCTTAATAACAATATCATTACATTATCGTTGCGCAGATTTTATATATGAGAAAAAAAACGTGTAACAACAATTTAACGAAATCGACACTGTTGTTAAAAATATAAGGTCACAGAAATTATGAAAATATTATTAAATTAATTTCTGTTAATAACAAATGTGGACTTATTAAATTTAGTCAGAAAAAAGAAAGAATAGTAATTCATAGAAATTCATCTTTTCTTTGTGAATAATAATACACTATATTTACTCATATTTTAATGTTTTTTAATGAAAAATTCTTAGAACGGGAACTACTGGAAGCGACTATTCCTTACCAGAAAGACGTGTGGGCTCTCTATATTATAAGAAGCGCATAAGTCATCAAACATCTACGCTTTCGGAAGATATTAAGCATCAATACAATAGTAGCAACGAAAGTATTGGCTCCATACATTCAAAAGCACAATCGTCAAAACCAAAGACAAAGGCAGTGAACAATGTGCAACCTGTTTCTGCAAATAGTAGCATAATACCAGAGATTACAAAGGAATTGCGTTTGATGCAACGGCCTGTGAATGGCTGTAAATTTGGAGATGATAGAATGGTTTTAGTATCGAACCAACATGTGCCATTTGTAATATTTTCTGCTATTCCATACAATAAAGGACAACGTTCCAGCTGGTAAGGCTTGTATAAATATTTAATTTGTATATAATATTCTCTTTTCTAAGATATATTTTCTTTATTTTATAATTCTATAATTTATTTGATACTATTTTTTATTAAATGTGCTAATAAAAAACTGATCACTTGTATTTCAATAAAATTTTATATGATTATTTACAGGTCAGAGTTACGTAAAGATACGTGTCGAAGGAAAAATGTGTCATCTCAAAGACCTTTATCAGCAATTAATGACAGTATTGATCCGTTTAGATTGTTGGGTATAGAGCACGCTAAGGATGGCCAAGTACTAAAAACATATTATTTTATTCCTTCAATTCTGATTTTTAAACATGATAATCCTTAATTATCAATTAATTTTTCAGGAAATATCTTACGGACAATTACTTGTACCATCTCGGCAATTTCAAAGGGATAAAAAAATGATGAATTTAAATGAAAACGAACCTATGGAACTTGCACATTTTATACCTAATAAACATCATGTGGTACAAAGGTATAGCAACAAATGTGTTTATTAGAATACCTTATTTCTTCTTTATGTTTAATTTGATATCACAATTCAAATGTACTATATGTGTATCCTTATCTTTTTTATATTGTTTTTATTTCTGTAATTTATACATCAAGTTTAATTAAGATTTAGATAGTTAAAGGAAATCATCAGACCTGTTAACTTTCTTCAGTATATGAGATGTCTAGTTGCTACTGCGTTAAGAATAACGAGTATAATTCTTTTATTTCAAATACTTATTAATAATGAAATAAACACAGAGAAAAAATTAACTATTTATCAAAGAATTTTTTATTTTATTAATCATTTGTAATTCACAGTTTTGCAATTCATAGCTGCAGTATTACCTAGGCATCTTTTTGATCTCTTTCGATATCATAGGTAATGCATACATGGATTCACATATCATATATTTGTTTTTATAACAAAACATCAACCATCTTTTTGCAGGACAAAAACAATTACTTGGAATGTGGATCACAAAAAATGGTAAAAAT